CATTTAAAACGGGAATAGTGATAAAAGAGGGCTTTTGCGGGTAGGAAAATAGTAACTGGTACAAAATGTAAAGTCGTAGACAATGCGCGTGGTGTTTAAGTGTGCTATTCGGTTTATAAAGCAGCACGCATATTGAAAAAATGGTGTGTCGCAGAAACTGTGCTGCGCAAGGCATAGCGTATCGCTAGCACCCACCGGACGAATAATTTCCCGAAACTGTAACCAGTCGTCAGTGACTCTTATTGATTGATGAATTAACAAATAAGTAAATGTTGATGATTAATTAATCTAATTATTTTATAAATTAAATCTGAACTTATATAATATTTAACCAACGGTGGTTGAGTTCCAAGAACAAATTCAACCTGGTAATTCTAAGCAATAATCAGTATGACTAGGCGTAATACGTCCAACAATAGCGTACAGTCCTGAAATACCTTAATCGCTCCTTGAAAACAGATCCTAAATCAGAACCGCCTTCCCATAGTCAATAGGACAGTGTTCCAATAAAACACTGCCTACAATGAAGACGCGACCACTGGAACAAGAGTTTTATTTTCCTGACATTTCGTATTCCGTCGGGAATCCTTACTCAGAGGGTATGGTATGTTAGTCTGAGTCATGCACAGATAGGGGTAAAACATGCACAGATTGCACGGTACTTATAGTTCAATGACAGAAACTCTTTGGAGATGCTGAGGTGATACAAACACAACCAATGTTTTTCCCGTAGCTATATGATAATAAAATAAAGACGGACTACTTGCCGGACCGAGGAATCGGAGCCCTCTTTCCTCTCCCCTGGAAATACTAGTAACTCTGACCTAGATTGCAGGAAGGATGAATATTCCCGTTTACTAATTCTAATCCAAGTATTGGCGGAACCGCAATCTTAACACCAACCCTACCCTTAACCATGACCGAAATCTGATCCTGGATCACGGCGGTTCACTTCTGCCTAGACGCCTTTTCTTTGTCCTCATGAAATGTAGACAGTTGTTAGTTTTCTCATGGAACTGTCGTCTTACAGTTTTCTGATTTTTTCTGGTTTCCCTTTCCCTCCTCTTTGTAGTGTCCCCTACATTGAGACCAGTGCGCTGGATGGAACCAATGTCTCCAAAGCCGTGGACATGCTTCTAGATCTGGTTATGAAGCGAATAGAAGCCTCAGTGACCAAATCACGAATCCACAAAGCCTGCGTGGATGATAAGAATACAGTGAAGCTCGACAACAAACAGAAACAAGAAAAGAAGTGCGCATGTTGAATGCGCGGAAACTGGTTTGTGCAATTCCTGCATTGCTTTCCGTACCGCTGTCCCGTTTCTGCAACTACTAATTGATGCTCCTTGTGCTGCTGCCGCTGCTGCTACCGTCGTTATTATTAGTAATACTGTTACTACTGGTTCCATGAATAGTAGTAATTACTTACAAAGAGCTAATCACCACATGGGGTGAGCGGTGGCTCTGGCGCCCACCTCTCCTCTGTGATTGTATGGAGGTGCGCCGAGAGCTGCGGCCCCTCGTTGTTAGCTGGGATGTCATGCCTACCATGCCTTGTTCTGGCATCTGTGTCCGGCCAATACATCTACCGCGTGGCCCACTTTTAGTGGTACTCGCCAACTGATCTTGCTTACAGTAACTGTTACTCGTAGAGGACAGTAAATTTCCAAAAAGCGGCCTTGGATGGTCTTTCAGATAGACTGAAGGGAACCAATTAACTGGCTGACAGAGTCAAACGCTGTATGATTTCGGCGTCTCAGGCAAATGAATGCTCTTCTATCGCTCGACAGATTACCTATTCGCGAATTTTCTGATTACTGTTTTAGTTTTCCCCTTCAACTATGCAGGCGCAAATTGTAGCGACTACGAGTAAATATAACCTACACAATGAAAAACGTCCTCTACGCGAAGCCCTTCATCTGCCGATCCTCAGAATGCTCATCGATGCCTAAGATATCGCAGTTACACCTCTCAGTCGTCGAATTAATCGATATTCGCTTATTATTGGCTGGCTGGCTCACAAGACATGCTTATTGCAGTCTGGGCAAAGGATGTGCTCGGATTTCTATTGGCCGACCCTACGAGCCTAGTAGATGGCGATATCGATTAGTGGTCATGGCTGGCGGGT